CACTGCACCATAGACTCAACACTGCGCCATAGACTCAACACTGCACCATAGACTCAACACTGCACCATAGACTCACACAGCCCGTAGACTCACACAGCCCGTAGACTCAGTGCCGTAGACTCTCACTGCCCATAGGTTCACACTGCAGTAGGCTCACAACTAAACACAATACACAACACGACCATACACTACACTACCCTCTACACTACGCTACCCTCCACACTACACTACCCTCCACACTACACTACCCTCCACACTACACTACCCTCTACACTACACTACCCTCTACACTACACTACCCTCCACACTACGCTACCCTCCACACTACGCTACCCTCCACACTACGCTACCCTCCACACTACGCTACCCTCCACACTACACTACCCTCCACACTACGCTACCCTCCACACTACGCTACCCTCCACACTACACTACCCTCTACACTACGCTACCCTCCACACTACGCTACCCTCCACACTACGCTACCCTCCACACTACACTACCCTCTACACTACGCTACCCTCCACACTACACTACCCTCTACACTACGCTACCCTCCACACTACGCTACCCTCCACACTACACTACCCTCCACACTACGCTACCCTCCACACTACACTACCCTCCACACTACACTACCCTCCACACTACACTACCCTCTACACTACACTACCCTCCACACTACGCTACCCTCCACACTACGCTACCCTCCACACTACGCTACCCTCCACACTACGCTACCCTCCACACTACGCTACCCTCCACACTACGCTACCCTCCACACTACGCTACCCTCCACACTACGCTACCCTCCACACTACACTACCCTCCACACTACACTACCCTCCACACTACACTACCCTCCACACTACGCTACCCTCCACACTACGCTACCCTACACACTACGCTACCCTCCACACTACGCTACCCTCCACACTACGCTACCCTCCACACTACGCTACCCTCCACACTACGCTACCCTCCACACTACGCTACCCTCCACACTACGCTACCCTCCACACTACGCTACCCTCCACACTACGCTACTCTCCACACTACGCTACCCTCCACACTACGCTACCCTCCACACTACACTACCCTCCACACTACACTACCCTCCACACTACACTACCCTCCACACTACACTACCCTCCACACTACGCTACCCTCCACACTACGCTACCCTCCACACTACGCTACCCTCCACACTACGCTACCCTCCACACTACGCTACCCTCCACACTGCGCTACCCTCCACACTGCGCTACCCTCCACACTACGCTACCCTCCCCGCTACGCTACCCTCCACGCTACGCTACCCTCCACGCTACGCTACCCTCCACGCTACGCTACCCTCCACGCTACGCTACCCTCCACGCTACGCTACCCTCCACACTACGCTACCCTCCACACTACGCTACCCTCCACACTACACTACCCTCCACACTACACTACCCTCCACACTACGCTACCCTCCACACTACACTACCCTCCACACTACGTTACCCTCCACACTACACTACCCTCCACACTACACTACCCTCCACACGACACTACCCTCCACACTACGCTACCCTCCACACTACACTACCCTCCACACTACGCTACCCTCCACACTACGCTACCCTCCACACTACGCTACCCTCCACACTACGCTACCCTCCACACTACGCTACCCTCCACACTACACTACCCTCCACACTACGCTACCCTCCACACTACACTACCCTCCACACTACGCTACCCTCCACACTACGCTACCCTCCACACTACACTACCCTCCACACTACACTACCCTCCACACTACGCTACCCTCCACACTACGCTACCCTCCACACTACGCTACCCTCCACACTACACTACCCTCCACACTACACTACCCTCCACACTGCGCTACCCTCCACACTACACTACCCTCCACACTACACTACCCTCCACACTACGCTACCCTCCACACTACGCTACCCTCCACACTACGCTACCCTCCACACTACACTACCCTCCACACTACACTACCCTCCACACTACGCTACCCTCCACACTACACTACCCTCCACACTACGTTACCCTCCACACTACACTACCCTCCACACTACACTACCCTCCACACTACGCTACCCTCCACACTACGCTACCCTCCACACTACGCTACCCCTCCACACTGCGCTACCATGCGCTACACGATGCATGCTGAACTTATTTCGCACCATACATAGGCAACCATGCTCATTGGAGGTGCGATGGCGACGGTTCAATAATGGGATGGTAGCATTATTCCACGCATGCATTATACTACGCCATCACATTCTACCATCGCTTACGAGCATCACAGCCGCACCAGTCGGCCACCAGACGGCTGGGGATGTGAACACCGGTGCTCGATCGAGAGGAGGAGAGCAAGGAGGAATCGGATGAGCTTCGAAGCTCGTGTTCACAGATGACCTGGTTAGAAAGCCTCGCATTGTTTGCCGGGCCGGGCCTGGCTCAAAGGCATTCTGGGATCTTATCGGCAAAATAATCGCTACCTTGATGAAACAAATCCTGCCAGGACAATGTTGACCAAGGGGCATGTTTCATTCATTAGGTGGAGACAGTGGAATGGAGGTCTGTTGCTGTTTGTCCCTTTACCTATGGGGTGTGCATAGCACACTGCGATACTGGGTTTGTCTACAAGCCAAGGGACATTACGTGATGTCAGGTAAGGCTCCATAGGCCTAAGACCTCCTCAATGTACACGTGCTAAGATAAAGGTCCCCCGCAACAGTATAGCCCCTAACAGGCTGTAGGGGCAAGTGCTGTTAGTGTGTAGCAGCCATGAAGGCCGGCACGGGCACCGCAGTGGCTAGATGTTGACTACCTCGCCTGGTGTGCAGGAGGTCGTGGGTTCTATCTCTCTCTCATCATCATCATCACGGAGGCTAGGAGGTGTTAACTACCTCGCCTGGTGTACAGGAGGTCGTGGGTTCTATCTCTCGCTCATCATCATCATCACGGAGGCTAGGAGGTGTTGACTACCTCGCCTGGTGTGCAGGAGGTCGTGGGTTCTATCTCTCTCTCATCATCATCATCACGGAGGCTAGGAGATGTTGACTACCTCGCCTGGTGTGCAGGAGGTCGTGGGTTCTATCTCTCGCTCATCATCATCATCATCATCACGGAGGCTAGGAGGTGTTAACTACCTCGCCTGGTGTACAGGAGGTCGTGGGTTCTATCTCTCTCTCATCATCATCATCACGGAGGCTAGGAGATGTTGACTACCTCGCCTGGTGTGCAGGAGGTCGTGGGTTCTATCTCTCGCTCATCATCATCATCACGGAGGCTAGGAGGTGTTAACTACCTCGCCTGGTGTACAGGAGGTCGTGGGTTCTATCTCTCTCTCATCATCATCATCACGGAGGCTAGGAGGTGTTAACTACCTCGCCTGGTGTGCAGGAGGTCGTGGGTTCTATCTCTCTCTCATCATCATCATCACGGAGGCTAGGAGGTGTTGACTACCTCGCCTGGTGTACAGGAGGTCGTGGGTTCTATCTCTCTCTCATCATCATCATCACGGAGGCTAGGAGATGTTGACTACCTCGCCTGGTGTGCAGGAGGTCGTGGGTTCTATCTCTCTCTCATCATCATCATCATCACGGAGGCTAGGAGGTGTTAACTACCTCGCCTGGTGTACAGGAGGTCGTGGGTTCTATCTCTCTCTCATCATCATCACAGTGGCTAGGAGATGTTAACTACCTCGCCTGGTATACAGGAGGTCGTGGGTTCCATCCCGACGCCTGCTGTATATTTGGAGTTTGTGTGTCTCTCTCTCATCATCATCATCACGGTGGATAGATGTTAACTACCTCGCCTGGTATACAGGAGGTACGTGGGTTCGATCCCGACCTTATCGCCTGCTGCTGCTGTATATTTGTACTTTGCGTGTCTCTCTCTCTCTCTCGTCATCATCATCACCATCAATCACCGGGTCCACCGTTTTTTCCCCCCTCCACATTTAGAAACGTGCGCTTGGGAGCATTTGGCCGCTGCCAACGTCCACGCGGGAAAAGCCTCTTCGCTGAGCCATCGCTTGTGGCCACGTCGCTTCTGAAAGAGTGCTACACGGCCCAGTGGTAAAATTAAAAAAATTAAAACTGATTTGGAAGCTTTCGTGACTGCGGGAATCCACACTTCTTTGGTTACGTTTTTTTAATTTTAATTTTATTTTTCTACCTACGTACCCCGGCCGCACCGGGTATTCGTTTGAGGCCGGGTCGGCCTGGGCGAGGGAGGCCCAGGACCGGTTCAGATAATCGTCACCGGCGTTGGCGGCGGCGGCCCCGAGCGGGAATCGAACTCGGGACTCCGCAGAGTTCGTAGCGGAGCCTGCTCTGTGCGTGCGTGCGTGTACGAACGAACGTCAAAAACCTCTCCGGCACCGTACGTAGCCGGCCGTGCCGGGGCGAAAGGGGGGCAAAACCGCGACACCTAAACAAAAACAAAACAGCTCCCAAGAAACGAGTCCTTCATATCTAGACCAGCGGTCCCCAAAATACTTCTTGGCACCAGGGACCGGTTGCGTGGAAGACAATTTTTTTTCACGGATCGAGGGGGAGGGGGTGGGGTTCATCATTGGGTCTTTCCCCCTTTTCAAAGAAGCTCTCTCCAGCTACGTTTCTTTGCTACCCGTTGTGGCTGCCGGGGGTTAGAGCTTGTGGGCTCACCAACACCACTGCGACTGACACTGAGCGCGCGGTGCGGGAACAGAGGCGCGGACGGAAGTGGTCAATAATAAAATAATGGCGTGGCCACGCGTGGACTCGCCGCTCTCACCTCCTCCCGCTGTGCGGCCCCCGGTTCCTTACAGGCCACGGACCGGTGGGCCCGGAGGGGCGGCGGGGGGTTGGGGACCCCTGATCTCGACGACGATTTAAAAGCGCACCGCTCCCAGCGGGCGGGGGGGGGGGAGGTGGGGTGGGCTTGCCGCTATCGGCAAGGGAAGCAAAACGCTCGAGTATACACACCTGGCCCGTCTTGCTGTTCTCCGTGACGCTGTCGGGCAAGATTTTGGAGAGCTGCACGATCCAGTTGTTTATCTTGTCCCGTCGGCGTCGCTCCACTGTTTGGAAACGACAAAACGGCAGAAAACCGCGACAAAATTACGGCGAGATTTTTCTTCACCACCGCTCGTATACGGCAAACCTCGCCCGCTCCCCCCACCCCAGCCGCTCCCCCACTTCTCGCCGATTCAGCTGCTGACAAACCCCCCCCTACCCCCCCAGAATGGTTTCAAATGCGTGGCAGCCCTTGCACCGATGAAGTCTTACCGGTCAAAGTGCTCCCCCCCTCCCCCCCCCCTCCACCTACTCCTCACCCTCCATCACCACCACACCCTCCTCTGAAAACCGCCGTCCATGCACATTTAGCGTCCACGTGACATTCAACGCCGGGGAAAGCGTCGGATGGCGTCGAAACATTTTCAAAATACTCTCCCCGCCCCCGCCCCGCCCCGTCCACCGCCCGGGTTGATGATGCAGGGCAACGCGTCAAGACAGCAGGTGGCGGGGGTGTGTGTGTGTGTGTGTGGGCCAAGGCTCGCATCGACGCGACCGTGAAGAAGCCGAACTCCCAGGCATTCGGATAACCGGTCCATCGATGGTTTCTTCGGCTCAAGGACCTGTGCCTGGGCTCTACCGGACCGCGCAGTGAACCCTCGTTAAGATTTGACACGAACGGGGGGGGGGGCTCTGGCCTTGGCCGAACAAGTCAACATTCCGAATCGTGTGCAAAGGAACTTAACCCCCACCCCCTTTCCTCCTGCTCCAATAATATTTATTTTCTTACAAATTAGTTTTCCAAGCTCTTCAAAGACAAAGATCCCCCGTCCCTCCCCCCCACCCCCCCCGCGCATAACCTTAACAGACTGTAGCGGCACACGCACACACAAAGATAAAGATCCCCCATATAGCCTTAACAGACTGTAGGGGCAAGTGCTGTTAGCGAGCACCTATGAAGGCCGGAATGGTACACGAGGGGGTGGGTGGTCAGCACCACGCCCGGCCGCCTTTGTCTCCCCAGTGGCGATGTTTACACAACGCACCAGGTACTCATTTGAGGCCGAGTCGACCTAGGAGAGGCCCTGGACTGGTTCAGATAATCGTCACCGGTGTTGGCCGTGAGCGGAAATCAACAACAACCGCCATTCGCCACTAAGTGGTGACGTCACCACGACGCTTGTGCCAGGCTATGTGCACCCTGAGGCCAGACACACACACCACACACACTCACACGCACTCACACGCACCACACACACTCACACCACACACACCACACACACGCACACACACACACCACACGCACTCACACACTCGCACGCACAAACACACCACACACACACACCACACACTCACACACCACACGCACACACGCCACACGCACTCACACGCACCACACAATCACACCACACACACCACACGCACTCACACACACCACACACTCACACCACACACTCACACCACACACCACACAATCACACCACACGCACTCACACACACACACCAACACCACACACACCACACGCACTCACACACACCACACACACCACACACACACCACACACACTCACACCACACACACTCACAACACACACACACACACACACCACACACACCACACACACACACGCACTCACACACACACACGCACGCACGCACCCGCGTCAATTCTATCCAACACCTCGGGATTTGCCCCGCAGACCAAGGGGGCTTTATACTTCGGCCCCATTTCTGTCCTCGCTTCTTCATGCAGGCGCAGACGACAATCCCTGCGAGTGGTCCGAGGAAACGGACGAGGAGAAGCCCCAAGCGACGGGTCCGCACCGAAGCTCCACCACGCGCCCCTCCGCCGGACCGAGTCGTCGCCTGTAGGTCTCGCCGGCATCGCCGAGTCTCTCCACGCGACGCCATTCGGTCCGGCGAATTCGGCGCGCGGCGAATCGCTGATGCGCCGCGCGTATTGCCGAAAGCACAGCCGTGCAAAAAAAAAAAAATAATGTTTTTTTTTTATTTTCTCCAATTACGAATGATCAAACGCCCAAGTAACGAGGTTTTGATGCGCGTATTTTTTAAAAAAAATTTTTTGTTACCAGGTAAACCTCCCCCCCTCCCCCTCCCACCTCCCCAACTGAGCTGGTAGGCGTGGCTCTTTTGCAGAAGCGACCCGCCCATCACGGATGACAGCTCAACAAAAGGTGGCTCATCATCATCAATCATCATCATCATCATCATCGTCGTCATCATCGTCGTCGTCATCATCATCACGTGGGCATTGACAGCGGCGGCAAAATACTCCCCCAAACGCGAGCCGAAGTCGATTCGAAATGCGGAGGGGGTGAAAACCGGAGGACCCGCGCAGAAAAATCCGCGCGACCACGGGGAGGGAGAGAGAGACAAGCAAACTCCTCATATACAGCAGCAGGCATCAGGGGTCCAGATCGAACCCCACGACCTCCTGCGTACCAGGCGAGGTAGTTAACATCTCCACGGGGAGACAGAGAGACACGCAAACTCCTCATATACAGCAGCAGGCATCAGGGGTCCAGATCGAACCCCACGACCTCCTGCGTACCAGGCGAGGTAGTTAACATCTCCACGGCGAGACAGAGACACGCAAACTCCTCATATACAGCAGGCGTCAGGGTCAGCATCAAACCCCACGACCTCCTGCATACCAGTCAAGGTAGTTAACATCTCCACGGGGAGACAGAGAGACACGCAAACTCCTCATATACAGCAGGCGTCAGGGGTCAGCATCGAACCCCACGACCTCCTGCGTACCAGGCGAGGCAGTCAACATCTCCGAGCCGCTTAAAAAAAAAAAGCAATCACTCGAATAGTAAAAGTGGTGGATCTACTCTTCTGACACACAACCGGCGTGTGCCGAACTCGTAACGAACGGGTCACGTTTCGTCTACGTGACAAGCCCCTTACTAACTGGCAAGGGGCTCGTCACGTCGGGCTGCGTGGCGGGTTTTAACGACACGCGTTTATATTTCACGCGATCAAAGCCCCCCCAAAAACCCCCGCGCCCCCCGCCAAAAAACACAACAAACCTCGATGATGGCTCTCACGCCCCCGAGGCGTCTTCTCACGCGGGGGGGGGGGGGGGGGGGGGCTCACCGTGACCCCCCACCTCCCCCCGGCGTCTCACGAAACAGGCGGACACGGGGCCGAGGGACGAAGCCGCCCGCCGGGAGGGTCCAGAAGCGAGCACGGCGAAGGCGTCGCACGGGAGCGACGCGGTAGTTTACGGGACAAAATTAATGTTTAATGGATTCCAATGCAGAGCGCTTACTAAAGATGAATAATCTGCAGCGCCTCCCACCACCTCCCCCCCCACGTCTCCTCTTCCCGCCTCCAGTCATTCAGAGTTCCCGCGTAGGCGTGGGAAATTATAAATCAGACCGGATCTGAAATAATAACGGGGGGGGAGGTGGGGTAGGGGGGAACTCGTGTTAAATGAGGTTAATAATTAAAACAAATTAATTTCTGCCTCCGCAATTCATTAAACAGCACTTTAGGCTTCCCAGCATGGAAGGCTCTTAATCACTGCGATAGCAGCCAAACACTCTGAACGCGCGATGTAGATTTCTCCATGTGGAGGGGAAAAAAATCGGTGGACCTGGAGAAAAAATCCACGCGACCACGGGTAGAGAGAGAGAGACACGCAAACTCCAGATATACAACAGGGGTCACAGGGTCGGGATCGAACCCACCACGACCTCCTGTATACCACGCGAGGTAGTTAACATCTCCTAGCCACCGTGATGATGATGAGACACGCAAACTCCAGATATACAACAGGTGTCAAGGTCAGGATCGAACCAACGACCTCCTGTATACCACGCTAGGTAGTTAGCATCTCCTAGCCATCGTGATGATGATGATGAGAGACACGCAAACTCCAGATATACAACAGGGGTCACAGGGTCGGGATCGAACCCACGACCTCCTGTATACCAGGCGAGGTAGTTAACATCTCCTAGTCACCGTGATGATGATGAGAGAGAGAGACACGCAAACTCCAAATATACAGCAGGCGTCAGGGTCGGGATCGAACCCATGAACACCTGCATAGCAGGCGAGGTAGTTAACATCTCCTAGACACCACGGCACCCCTTAAATGACAAGATATATTATTGTCATTGACCCCTCCACCACCTGACAAGATTACAGACAGATTGTATTCCTTTCAGCAGCGAGGGCACAATCAGCTGTTAGGCTCTGTGATTTTATGGGTGTCTTGCACTGGTACAGGTGTCATACATTCGCACCTCCGATTAGCACGGTTGGCTACGGTGCTGGAGAAGTTCAACATTCATACTTACACTGACACTGCCAATAGACTCAGCACTGCACCATAGTCTCAACACTGCACCATAGACTCAACACTGCACCATAGACTCAACACTGCACCGTAGACTCAACACTGCACCGTAGACTCAACACTGCACCATAGACTCAACATTGCACAATAGACTCAACACTACCCAGAGTCAACACTGCCCATAGACTAAACACTGCACCATAGACTCAACACTGCACCATAGACTCAACACTGCACCATAGACTCACCACTGCACCATAGACTCAACACTGCACCATAGACTCAACACTGCACCATAGACTCAACACTGCACCATAGACTGACAACTTAAAAGTGCAGCATAGCTCCTGGTGTCTTCCCAACATCCGAAGGGAAGAAGCGTTCCAGACGGCCGCGGAAGCGCATCCAAAAGCGCCGCGCGATGACGATGCGGTGACCCACAGCCAAATGCCGCTGCCGCGAGAATGACCGAAGGCTCGCGCGCTCACGCCCGGTGGCAGGCGGGGAAGGGTTATCGGCGAGAATATTGCCGTCAAAAAAATGACTTACCCAACGCGGCGAAACCCCACAGCACAGAGTGAGCACTCCTGACAGGCAGTTTTTGTTGTTTGTTTGTTTTTTTAAAACGAGGCAATAACCCTCGCGAGGAATGAAACATTTACCTGCCTTCAGTATCCATCCGCGTGGACTTCCAGCGACGTCGGATATTATTAAAGCGGTGGTGGGTTTCGCAGA